GTCTGCTCTAGACAAGTGTCGTTTCTCCCTTCTATGTCTTGTCCCCTCATCTGTCTTCCCAGACCTCCTGGCACCTCTGGGTTAGCACGACTGGTCGCCGCAATGTCAACTCAGACCTGGCTGAGGGTGGCTCTGCCTCCCTGCCACACAGCCGGGCGCGGTATCTGGGCCCGTGCAGTGCACCAGCTTCTCCTCTGTGCGCTTGTTCTTCATACAGCGCTGGGGGGAGTGACACCCCTAGGAGTCTTCCTTCCCCACTGAAGAACCCAGAGCGACTCACTTGTGCCATGCCCCTCTAGACCCAAAGAACCAGGATCCCTCGGGATGAAGTTAGGGAGCTGTTCCCGTGCAGTGAATCCAGTGCTCTGTATTACCCTGGTTATGCCATGGAATCACCTGGAAGTTCTTTTTATTTTTATTTTTTAACATGCTATGGATTGTTTTTTTAATACATTTATTTTATTCTTATTATTTTTATACATTCAATTGCTATACATCATTTAGACTTGCAGAGAGAACTGACCCAAGAAGAACTACACTTCAGACCAGTCTGGTTGAGAATACTACGCGTTATCATCAACAGGTAATGAGCCATTTCTGTGTCCCACCAACGTCTTACTTCTCTATTTTTCTCCCTAATTTCCTTCCCTAGACTCTTCCTCTCTCCGGCCCTCCTTCCACACTGACTGCGGCGTCCATAACTATTTCCAATGCTTTTATGCCCTGCAATCACCTGGGAGCTCTTAGAGACACGTGTACCAGGGCCTACCTCTCCGATTTCTGGGAACCCTCCGGCGACTCTAACATGCAGTCAAGCTGGAGAGCCTCTGGTCTATAGCAGCCTCGCTACAGAACGGCTGCCCCACCAGCTGAGCCCGTATTTCTCATTTCTAACCAGCTGTGTCCTCTGCCTGTAGTCCTGACATGTGCTCCCTCTGCTTTTAACGAAGGCCAGGCCCGGCCTCACCTACTCGCCTCTCGTCGTCGAGTGCGTCTCTCAGGGTGGGGGCTGTCACTTCCCACGACCCCCACGAATTTGCCACAGCGTGGCTCTGGAGGGAGCTCTGTGCTAACTGAGCAGAGGGCATAGGCCATCCCACCACTCATACTAAGGCGACTCTATGGGGTGCCCGGGGCCCGGCAGACCAACAAGCAGGGCCTTGCCAGGACCTCAGGGGCACCTGCTGCCTTCGCCATGCAAGAGTCTCTTCCCGTAATCTTCTCCAGAACAAATGTCACCAGTCTCTTACCTTCTTCTTCATTCCATATGAGGTTTGACACACAAAACATAGCGGCAAGTTGCAGTTTGACATGGGAGTGACCCTGTCATAGAAAAGAGGAGGTATTAAAATGGAAACAGTCTCATTTTAGACCTTTTCTTTTCTTTTCTTTTCTTTTTTTTTTTTTTTTTTTTTTGATTTTTTTTATAGGAAATTTCTCT